TTTTAGGCGTCTGGGATTTATCAGTAGAAGGGTGGCTCTCGGGGTGGAATGAGAATGATTTTGTCTCCCAGGGAGCACTTGATAATGCCTGGAGACATTTTTGGTCGACACAGCTGGGGGAAGGAACTGCAAGTGGTGGCCAGGGATGCTACTTCGTATCGTGCGATGCACAGGACAGCCCCGCACTACACAGGCTTTTCATATCAAAACGTCAACAGTGCTGAGGCTGAGACCCTGATGTAGAGGATTGGCATTCACAGAAGCTGTGACTCACCAAGGGCGGTGCATTAGGTGGCAAGGGCTCCCAGAGGACAGAAATCTTCACCTCTTCTCACAAGGTCTCACCCCTGGGGGTGGGAAGAGACAGACCATAGAGAGACTGTTTTCTCTCCCATCAAAGTCTAACATAGAAGAGAGTGAATGGCACTGTGCTTGTTCCTCCATGAATGTTCCTCATTATCTCAGTATTTCTTGTAGTCATATAAGGTTATTATGGAAGCAAGACAACTGTTGACAAGAGAAATCATCTCCAAAGATGTACCTGAAAGCCAGCAGCTGTGTGCAGAATGAGGAAGGATGCTCCTGCTCACTTAACCTTGAAAAAGGCATGGTGGGGGCAGGGTGGTAGCTTTATTGTGTCTATGAATCACGTCCCTTAGAGATACCAGCTTTTTGAACCATTACCCCTCATGCCAGCTCTTCCAGGTGTCTTTCTTTTTTAAGCCAAAAGTTTGGGTTCTGGGTGGACTGAATTGATTTATCACCCTTTTGTGGGGAAAGGGTAGAATGAAAGAGATTAGGAGAGAAATAACACTCAGCACAAATACCTGGGTTTGAGGAAGCAAATTCAGTATGCCTGCTTCACCCTGGTAGGACAAGTTCTGTCTGTCATCATGTATACTAGATACATGACTTCCACTGACCAGTGACCAAAGTTTTTTACTCATTGGGTCTGTGATTACATGGATGTAACCATCATCCTGAAATACTAACATTAAATGAGGTTTCAGCCCTGGCCGGTTTGTCTCAGCGGTTAGAGCGTCGACCTGCGGTCCTGAGAAACCCGGGTTCAGTTCCCACTAAGGGCACGTACCTCGGTTGCAGTTTGTCCCCGGCCCTGGTTGGTCGTGCGGGTGGCAGCCACTCGATGTGTCCCTCTCACATCGATGTTTCTCTCTCTCTCTCTGTTTCTCTCTCTCCCTCCCGCTCTACCTGAACAAAAAATAGAAAAATGTCCTTGGGTGAGGATAAAAAACAATTTTTTTTAAAAATGAGGTTTCAGAAAGAAGTATTTTGGGGAGCGTGAAATAGAATAGGAAAATGCTACCATTTCCAGGTAAATGCTGTACAGTCCCCACACCCAATCCACCGCAAGTACGTTTATTTATAGCAGTATTAACGATACATTTGCAGCTTGATTGGGCAAAGATTTTGCTGTTTCTCATTGACTGAATTTCTAGAGAGCTTCTAGTCTGCGCTTTCCTTGTTGCCGTCACCACCCCGTGGCCCTGGTGCATCTTACATCGTGATCCATTTATTCGGAGGCTTCATTTGAAGCTTTTCTGCGGTATCTTAGGGCATCTCTTGGCTCCTAGGAGTGGAATTGGCCTCCTAAGAGTTGTCTCCCAGTGATCAGGCTGCAAGCACAGACTTTTTCTTTTTGCTTTTGAGCAATGGTGGTTTTTATCTACAAGATTGTTCTCCCACTTGAGTCGATCTGCCCTGCAGCCAACAGCTGTTTGCATCCAGATCTCCCCTATAGATGAATAAAAACCTCCCAGAGGCTCATACTGGCTGGAAAAAGTTCCTTTGTGTTTCTGTGAAGCATAACTGAGCCCTGAGCAATCACTTTTGATGTATATTTTGTGATTGGTGGGGGGGAGGTTTTTTTTCTGCCAAACTATTCCTTGCAGATGAGAATTTTTGTGGGCTGAAGGCTTTATCCAGTGTGAGCTTTACCCTCTCTGATTAAATGAAAGCCTAGGTTGAGATTTGTTTCCCCTACATTGCTCTTCAATTTTATTCTCTGTGCAGTTTGGACATAATACTTCATTAGCAAAATGGGTCTGATAACTGTCTTCCAAATATCCATCTTGTTTGGTTTGCTGGGAAACAATTTTCGTCTAAGTATAAAATACATTGTTAAAAGAATCAACCTTGAGAGAGTTGAAGTTTGAGTCTGTGGACCTCCTAAAACTAAAGTGAGCATACTTACTCTTGGAGGTCATTAGTTTTGCCTCAGTACCTAGGATTCCCCCACCCCCATCTCTCCTAAGATCTAAGATCAATGTCCCTTAAGGTAGCAGTATTTATCATAATTGCCTGATACATTAGTGTCTTTCAATATCAATATTAACTTGGACTATGAGATCACTAAACCGTATAATAATTTTGAACAAGGGATAATAACTTGACTTTTGAGGACCAGTGAAGCCAATAGCAAACTTTTAAGACAATGACACACCCTTAGACACAAATGTAAGCTTGGAATCTAATAAAATGCTTCTTGAGCTATATTTATTGAAATATGATAACCTGGTTTCGATATTGAATGATAAATTCTATTTTCGGCCCAAGGGAACAAACCACAAGACACAGTGAGTGAGCACTCTGGCCTTAACCATTCAGCTTCGGAGTGGACATAGCCCCATGTTCCATGGTTTCCCTATCAGGAGGGGAAAAGCCTAAGGAATGTTACCTTCAATAAAAGAAAAAATAATAAAAAATGTTATCCCTACACATAATCATTTCTATCTTAAGTCTTTGAAAAACAATGAGAACCAGAGGAATTTTTTTTTTTTTTAGTTCTTTGCAAAGCCAGACCACACTATTGATTACTGACTATTCATTGCTAAAGGCAGTGCTCTGTATTTAATAAATTAAGCTTTAATCCCTGAGTCTAACAAAATAATTGACCTCAAAAAGAAGATAAATGAATATGCTGTCCTGAGATCATGATTAGAATCCACTTTCTAGTTTCATTATATTAGTATTTTTCAATTCAGTGATTTTTTTTTCCTCATTCTTTTCTAGTTTCTTTTCACAACCTATAACACCTTCCACTCTACTCCTCTATCAACAAAGTAAAGCTATTTTTATTCTTGGTTTCAAGATTGAAAAGTTTTAATATGATATTTTTACACTTTGTCATTAATATGAATAATTCAATATAATTTCTGTTTTAGAAAAAAAAATAGATGACTGGTATTTCTGAAGAAATATCTGAGAGGCTCCTGACATCATAAAATCATAAATAGCATAACATATAACATATATAAATATTTTGATTAATCAATCCTTTGAAAATTTGGGAAAATTGGCCCTATCTGCTTCAACACTGATTTATCTTACTGAATCCTTGAACATTAGGGAGGTTTAATAATATATGAGGAACATTAAAAGAAGAGCTATTTGGTGACTCAGGCAAGATCACACTGGGTTGAAAAGCCATGATCTTCAGATGACCCCTCAGTATTTGCTGCCACTATACCAAGAGAATTTCTTGGGTTAGGAAAGTATATTCTTCATAGTAAGAGGGCAATCATGTGAACAGGTTTCATTTTTTTTTTTTTTAAGCTTTGATGCTTTGGTTTTACTTAATAATGAATATAAAATAATCACCATTCTTATAGACACCATATCAACACAATGGTTCAATACCATATTAGTCAGAATTGAAGTAGCTAAATCAATTTCTTCTTCAGGGAACTTCTGAGGAAGCAGAAATTAAGTGTAGCTTCTGTAGAATCCACAGAAAGATTTATAGCTTTTTTCCTTCTGTGTCTCAGGAAATATCCCCTGAGGGTTCCCGAAGGAAGAGTTATTTTGTTTGGTTTTAGTTTTTAGTTTTTTGTGGCTTTTTAAAAATTTTTTTATTTCTACTTAGGTTTCTTGAAGTGTTCGGGACTTCATTTGTCCCTGCATTAGCTTAGAGGGGACATACCTTCAGGGAGTAAAGGGAACCAGGAGAGGTAAAGCTGAACTGCCCACTCATTGGGAATGTGGATTTATAAACTCAGAAGCATTATCTTTCCTTAGCTGCCCCAAATCACATTCTCCATGTGGAATAAATAAACCTCGAGCTTACTCTCCTCAGGCTCATTTGTGCACATCGATCGGTGTACTACACGCCTATACTTTTCTTGAGGGAACCTAATGAGGGCCAATGAGGCTAACAGTATTCAGTGGCATTAATAACTATTTTTGCATCCTATTAAATGTTTCCAGTAACGCTCAAGTACTGTTGCAGGATAGAATAGTGTATTCTTGGTATAGTCTTTCTAATTTAGAACCTCTTAACCAGAAAGCCCAGTTGCATTTTTTTCATTCCCATTTTTTAAATGATAATTTATATTTATAATGATAATGCAAGGTATTTCGTAACTTTCCAATTCATTATGCCAAACTAAATTAGGTTTATTATATCTTTGGTATTAAGTGAATCTAATTGCATTGTGAATCTCTGAACACTGATAATTGATTGCTATATATAGCAGCTACAGAAAATCCAAACTATTACAGTAATTTGAATATCCTATTTATGAACTATTCCAAAAAAAAGCAGTTTAATTAAATTCAGTATTAGAACAGATTTGTAAATAGGATGGTGCAAATGTTTTTATTAATATGCGTTTTTTATTATGTTAATGACAGTATTTTGCAGCATATTTTGTTTTGACTTTATGTCAAATTATAAGATTTTCTAAAATATAACTATAAATGAAAAATATTTGAGCAACTATGGAGGAATAGTAAATGTAAACTCCTAATAATAATGGATATCAAATAGAAATCACATGTTCTTCTCCTTTCTTTTATTGGGAGATTATAGCTGTAGGGCAAATCTCATTTAAAATATTGTTATCACTTCATTAATACCAAAAGATACATTGATAATCAAAAGATACATTTTTCTCTGAAAAACTATTTTTAAGGTATGCAGATGCTTTGGGATTTATAGATCCTACTAATTTTCGACTATTGTCTTGATCTATTGGCAGAATTTTTCCGAGAGCTGCTAGAAAATGCAGAAAAGTCCCTGAACGATATGTTTGTGCGGACCTATGGGATGCTGTACATGCAGAATTCAGAAGTGTTCCAGGACCTCTTCACAGAGCTGAAAAGATACTATACGGGGGGCAACGTGAACCTGGAGGAGATGCTCAATGACTTCTGGGCTCGGCTCCTGGAACGGATGTTCCAGCTCATAAACCCGCAGTATCACTTCAGCGAGGACTACCTGGAATGCGTGAGCAAGTACACGGACCAGCTGAAGCCGTTTGGGGACGTACCCCGGAAGCTGAAAATCCAGGTCACCCGCGCCTTCATTGCCGCCCGGACGTTTGTCCAGGGGCTGACTGTGGGCAGAGAGGTTGCCAATCGAGTTTCCAAGGTAAGTGACAATCTGCTGTCTTTCTCATGGGTCTTCCACATTTACTCTGTTTGTAAAAACAAATACTTCAAAGAAAGTCAAGGCGAAAATTCTCACTCACAGTGGTCCTCTCTCTTAGAGAAATAAGCTAAATGCCAAAGCTTAATTCTGAGTTTTTTCCATGCTTGGTGTGAGAGAAGACAGCATTTCAAGTTGTTCCATGTGGTTTGGAACGTAATGTCAATACTTATCAGCAGTACAGCAGAGGAGCTTTTATCAGTGCAAAGGCAGGAGTCTTGTAACCATGACCACTTGGCATTTCTGATCAGAGTTTTAAGGATGATAAATACTCATGAAGCAGCCCATCCCGAGGTTATAATCCCCTGCTAAGTCACAAGGTGACAGTCTTCACGAGGCCCGCGAGTGGAGACAAGTTGCTCACAGTGCCAGCCCCTGACATTTCTTCTTCTTTATCACCCTTGTCAAAGTGGCCGAATTCCTTAATCGTGAAGGAAGAACCTTTTGCTGATACCTGTAGAACTGGATTAGGGAGGACCTATGAATTCCAGGTATAGATTCTGGCAGAGAATTCCTTTTGTTCCCCATTAGCCGTGTAATTCAATGCCACACATCATGCTGGGTTTAGGCGAGGGATAAATTACTGGTACACATCTGTGCCTTTCCTTGAGGAGGTCTCTCACCCTTTAATGCAAGGACTACTTCCCTACCGCTGTCTTTAAACATGGACTATTTCCTATAGCTATTTTCTCCTGCACAGAGGCTGTCTGCCTTTGTTTACCTTCTTCCTTGACATTCAACTGCTTTTATGAGATGGGCTGGCCCGTTTATGAGGTCAGTCCAACAAAGAAACTGAAAGATGATTACTTTAAGAGGTAATGTAAAAACAATACCTAACAGGAATCTGATATAATGTTGCCCAAGGAAGGTTATATTTGTACAGAGATTATTGCCAAACTCAACTTTCTTATTGCAGGGCCACGCCAAAAAGCCACGCAGTTCTCATAACTATTAGTTCTGTTCTGCCACGTCCCTTTCCCCACGCTGCTGCCCTCAACAGTTACATCTTGGCGTTAAGTTCCTCTGTACTCTTGAACGTGTTTCTCTGGGCGTTATTTGTAAAAGTCATAGCAATTCATTTTTAAATTATCAGTTCCTGAGACATTTATTTGAACGTCTGAGAAGATTATTTGCTAGAAAGGGGATAATCACAAAGGATTTAATAATAGAAAGGGAATATAACTCTGATTATAAAAACAATTTTTTATTGAAAATCAACAGTGTTCTAAAGTATAGATCCCCAAAAGTGGATTGATAAGGAATTGACCAGGTGTAACAGCAAGAGGAAAAATGATCACCTGAGAAGGTCTGTAAAATATAGAGAAGTATAAAAAATAAAAATATAGTTCATATATTCTAGAGCAGATAGTTTTGTTTTTTTTTAAAGTTTAATCACAGAGGCTTCAAATTGATGCCTTTGCTTTTGTTGAAGAATGAAACAAACATACAGCCAGCCTTTGAGAGATATGAGGTAAGCAATTCAAAGCACGGATTGGTATATGCAGCATTCCTGATTGTTTATATTGATGCTGCCTGAGTGTGAATTATGTTCAAATGTGCACATTTTGGTCTGGAGAGGCTCCAGTGAGATAAGAGAATATTTTCTAGGAAAGTCTCTGAAAAGCTTCAGGGAGGGGTGCTGCTGAGTCCTTTTCCTCAAGGGATGGCATCAATGCTTCCCGGAGATGCACCTCCCCTTCGCCCATCACGCCTGACTGTTCCAGCCTAAGCCTTTGTCGACCGAAACGTAACATGCTACCTACCCTTCACGGAGAAGGTTGACATCATGGACCAACCACCAGTGGAGTATGACTTTTCATTTTTTTCCAGATGTTTTGAGGGCTGTATTCGGCAACACCAAGATCTTGTTTCCCTGATTTCTTCATAACCAATGTTCCTTTGCAGAGCAGCTGCCGTGGGTTTGCGATGCAGTTTGTGGTCGTGTCGCCATGGGATGCTCACTGTTCGGTGCAAACGCTGGCTTCTGACCTAAGTTTTATTAGCACTCATCCACTCAAACCGTAAATCCCACGCCGGTGTCTGGGCACCACCATCGCGTAGGTAGGGAGGTACATAGATTGACGCAGATATGTGAATGCATACGTTTGGTTTAAGAGAAACAGCAGTTTTTGTTTTTTTGTTTTTCTCAAGTAATTTATGACTTAAGGATTTAAGTAGTTTACCACCGAACTTTCTCACCTAATCGTTACCAAATGGTCTGTGGTGACTAAACCAGACAGATCCACAAGGGCTATTTTGGTGCTGGTGATTTTCAGCACCCAAACTATTTCTGGTGATAAGAATAAAATATTACAAAGACTAACGATACGAAGAGGAGAAGCAAGCTTGGTATTTGAGGTGTAAGCTCTTCATAAATCTGAAGTCTCCCTGTGGTGTGTCCATGGAGTGATTTAGAGTCGGCAAAGTGATTGCAGAAGAGTAAAGGAATTCAAGGAAAAATTCCCAAATTGAGATCAACAGACTGGCTTGTCTCCTGCATCCTGATTTGGGGATATTTATTTTTTTCCTTCAGTTTCTCTCTTCTCTTTAAGTGGCTTCTTAAATATTGACAGCGCCATTAACAGCTTCTAATTAATTGTTTTGACTGAAAAATTTGTCACTTTGGCAAAACATAGCAGTTTGACACAAATGTTTTGCTACAACATTACAGGGATTTCCCTTAGCAGAAAAATGGAGGACTAATTCATAGGCATAAATGTAATGATTTTTTAAAACTGCTGCTTGCCATCTTCCATCCACACACATTGAATTTTGCCAAGCTTTTTATATGGAGCAAGTTAGTTCTAATTATCTATAACTGGCTCTCACATTGTTATAAGTGTTATGTGGTTCTAGAGTAAGTGTCTGTGGTCAGTTAGCCAGGATTCATTTTCTGTGTGAATGACTATTTTTGAGAGTGCCAAGTGTTGACAAGATATGGAGAATCAGCCCTGGCCAGTTCTGATCAGCAGTTGGAGCGTCAGCCCAGGGACTAAAGGGTCAGGGGTTCGATTCCAGTCAGGGGCATGTGCCAGGGTTGCAAGTTCGATTGGGATCAGGGTCGTGTGGGAGTCAACCAATTGATGTGCTTCTCTCACATCAATGTTTCTCTCTCTCTCTCTTTTTCTCTCCCTCTCTCCCTCCCTCCCATTCACCCTCTCTAAAAATCAATGGAAAAAAGTATGCTCAGCTGAGGATTAACAGCAACAACAAAAAAGATATGGAGAATCACTAACTTTTATACTTTGCTGGTGGAATTGTAAATTTATGTATTCAATTTAGATAACAATTCCATAATACCTGTATTGTTAAAGAAGTGCATATTCTAAAACTGCAATTCTGCATATACCTGGAGAACCTGTTTCACATGTGTAGAGATAGATATATAGAAGAATGTTCAAAGCAGCATTGTTTACAATAACATAAAAAGTAGAAATATCATAAATGGCCCCATCTACATTAATGATGATCTCTTCACACTATGAAATCCTATGGAGTCTTGAATGTAAGTGAGCTACATTTCTACATCATCTGTATATTGCATTGTGTGCCCGTCACCCAAAGTCAGATCATTTTGAATGACCATATATTTGGCCCCCTTTACCCTTTACTACCCCCCACCCCCTTTCCTCAGGTAACTACCCTACTGGTGTGTGTGTCTGTGAGTTTCAGTTTTATATCTCGCATATGAATGAAATCATATAGTTCTCAGCTTTTTCTGACGGACTTATTTTGGTTACCATAATATTCTCAAGGTCCATTCATGTTGTCTCAACTGGCAGTATTTCATCCCTTCTTATGGCTGAGTAGTATTCCAAAGTATATATGTACCACATCTTCTTTATTCAATCCTCTCTTGCAGGACTTTGGTTGTCTCTATGATGCTGCAGTGAACCTAGGGATGCATATATGTCTTTGAGGATAAATGTTCTCGAGTTTACTTAAAAGAGGGATTTTTGGGTCATATGGTAACTCTATCATTAATATTTTGAGGAATCTTCATACTGTTTTTCATAGTAGTTGTACCAGTTTACATTCCCACCAACAGTGAATGAGGGTTCCTTTTTCTCCACAATATCTCCAATGCTTGTTGTTACTTGTCTTGTTGATAATAGCCATTCTAACAAGTGTGAGGTGGAAACCTATATATATATTTTATTTTAAAAATATAAGTGAACTACACTCATGGATGAATCACAGAAACCTCATTTTGAGAGAAAAAAATAAAATCACCAAAGAACGCCACTTATATGAAATTCAAACATTGCAAAATTAAGCAATGGATTATTTATGAATAAAAATATATATAATAAAACTATGGAGAGTTTTTTTTTAATTTATAAGCATAAACAGGAGGTGAGAGTTACCTTGGGGATTGGGCTTAGTGGTGTTATAAAGGAGGGGTACACAAGGGTTTCTGACGTTACCAATAACATGCTGTTTCTTAAGCTCTGTGCTGCGTTTGTGTATGTGTTTAAGGATTTGTTAATGACAAAGATTAAAGTGAGGTAAGACTTTGCCATGTTCATCTATGATTCTTTTGCCTGTGTGCAGATGTGATCAAGTCCCTGAGCTGCTTGTCCTCAGGTGTTTGTCAGACTTACTGTTGTTCGTGGATTTGTTAACCATTCACTTTCCCTGTTCCATCATGTGCTCGAGGATATCAGGTAGGCATGGAAGGCAGAGCTCGAAAAGGAAGATAAAAACAAAGTTTACAGTCTCGCAGCATTGGGAGAAAGCATCCGCGCTATTTCTTACCATTGTTTCTTTGTCAAATCACACCTTCACCCTCACACACACGCATGCGTGCACGTATCTCTATCGGTGAGTGGAAACATGGGTGCCTGCTGCCCCGCCTGAGGGCTGCAGGAACACAGAAAGAGGGCTGCATGCAGAGATGTTAGCACACTGTCTGCTTAGACCCAGCTTCAAGTATTCCTCGT